CCGTATTATGATTATTGATTTTTCTTTTGCATTTTCGTAAATTTTACACAAAGTTTTAAACTTTGCCTTATATGGTTTATTTTGGTTGGTATTTCGAATAAACTATAGTTTTATAAAAAATTTACAAAAAAAAAATCAGTACATAAAACATTGTGAATGTTGTAAAAGATGTATGTAGGTGTGCTAAATACGTACGTGAACACCACATTTCATTTAGATAAGAAACAGCTAAAATGGTATGGTGCTGATATCAAAAAAAAAATTTACTGAAATATCCATAGATTTCATATTTCGTTGAATAAACAAATATTATTAGACGAATTTTCCTCTAATTCCATTATGCGTGCATGTTTCTTTTGAAAACAGTGCAGTTTGTTTTATTGCCTCTTCGTCTTTCTGAAATAATTCATTAAGCCAAGCCGCCTTATTATCAGCGTGCCTATGCTGCTTTAATTATTTTCCACTGACATTGCAACTTTGGCAGCACACAAAACCGTAACATACTCGAAGAAAAACGCTAATGACCTTCGGAAGGGAAATGAGTTTTTAAAGTTTACCCAGTAATTATATTTAATTTGCGTAAAGGACGAAACTAACACGATTAACCGATGCCGGACAGTCACACTAACGGACGTGAGAAAAATGCTGAGTATCAAAGGTAAAAGGAAACAAAAGAGCAATGTACAAATGAAATGTTGATGAATTGACATTTCCTCGACCAGTTCAGGTTTTCGGTTGCTACCTGTGTAAAAGGTTGGCATTCGTTTGATGATGTCCATGTATGGCTGGATGAGGAGATAAGCAAAGGAAAAGGAAACTTGTTTTCAAAAGAATAAAAAAAGGAAATAAGCGTATTAAGCGACAAATACATACATACATACATATGTATATACAATAATAAAAAAACGGGTATTCGCACATAACCTCAAAAAGCCGTCAAACAACGCATTACTACTAGCCAGGTGATATAGAGGATAGGAGCATGGTATGCCAGGGGAATGCTACTGCGCGGGTAGGCAACATCAGCAAAGAGTCAACCAAGTCAGCCGCTGTCAGACAGGCAAAACAGTCAAAGGTTTCGCTCGCCTCAGACCCCAGAGAATTGCCCAACATAAGCCGCCAATCCTGATAAAACTAAGAGAAAATGTAATAAAAATTGAAAACTCGCTGAATGATGTTGCTGATGGCAGAAAGGCTTATACTTTTCACTGTACAAGGGCGGCGGTGAGGATTGTGCCGAGAAACTGGCAGAACAAGTAAATCGTCACGAATTCTGGCTAAGTGGCGTTTCAAAGAAGTTTAGAAGAAGAAAAATTGATGTAAAATAATACGAACACTCACACATACAAATGTACTACTGGCGCACACATAGAATCCCAATAAACATTTTTGCTAAATCTCAATTTGAAATACATTTGAGAATCAGTCCTTTTCTCAAGTCTCAAACGTTACTTCTCAAATAACCGTTGATAGCGTTCTCAAACACGCAAAGGCATATTTTTAATATGGATTTTTTCTTTATTTTCAAATGGAGAAATATTGAATTCTCCACTTTTTCTCAAACGTGAGAGGGGCGGAACGAAATGAAATCCAGTTACGCTCATTGAAATATTTGTGTAGTGTTGTCAGTGATGCATGTAAAAGAAACACACAGTTTTTATAGAAAAAGATCCTTTTTGTTGGACTTATTTCATTTTCAATAGAGCAAAAGCCCTTTTATAATGCATACACATAAATAATTTTTATTTAACATACAAATATTATTTCATTTTAAGCAGGAAAATTGTTGCCCACAGACTCTTTCTTTCGGTTTTAAGTTTTAATGGCCAGTCAGTAGCTTACGTCAGCAGATCAGTCACAAAACGATCAATCAAAAAAAAAAACATAAAAAAAATTTAATTTCAATGCACTCGAACCAAGAACGATTTTCCAATATACATATTACGAATAACAGCGCCCGCGAGGTCGAGGAGCCACTTTGCGACTGAAGGATTGCGATTGACTTCGACATCTTTGCATTATTGACACACATGAAACGGAACGAAATGCTAAAAAAAATGTCTCAAATGTTTCTCAAACCGTTCTTAAGTTGTTAAACAACATTTGAGAAAAATTTGAGAAAACGTTTAATTTCAAATGATAAACAATGCTGAAATTCAAATTGAGAAATATTTTTTCAAGTGCTTGAAAATTTTTGTTCCAGTGTTTGTTGGGAATTACATTACCATTACCTATATATGTATGTATGTATAACGAAAGGTGAGGAGAAGCTGATAGCAATGTTTGCCTGCTGGTTGTGCGGTTGGTCCCAACCAGCTTGGCTGGCTGCCTTAGCGTTAGCCATCATCGTCGTCACAATACAATTTAAAAACGAACCGAAGCAAATGTAGAAGCGAACACAAGAGAAATACACTTCAAAGCAAAAGCAAAAATGAAAAAGAATGGATGGTAAAAGCTAACCAAGTGTAAGAATTACACAAACAATAAAAAAAGAGGCAATAACCAGCCAAGAAGAACTAAGAACTGGTCTGGCTGGCTCGCTGGCTTGCAGCTTGTCTTAATAAGAAATCTCCGATGAAGAAATACTAGCTAGCAGCTCACTGTTCGCTGCAGAAATGTGGTAGAAATAAATAACCATGAATTTTTGTTCTTTTTTTTTATTTTTTTTTATTTTTTTTATTATTTTTTTATTATTTTTTTCGACACGAATCCCCAAGTGACGGCTGAAGTGGTGGAGCGGAGAGTGAATAAGAGGTTGGATTCGTGCATGAAATAAAAAATTCTGCTATGCAGCTGCCTCAAGACTGGTTTGATTGGTGAATTTGATTGCTGCTGCCGTTTCTTTAGCCATGGATGGCGAAGAAAATGTTGCAAGTTTCTTCTTCGTGTACATGGAATTAATGGTTTTATAATTAAAGTACTGATATAAATTTGATATAAATGTCATAAATCGTTCGTTCGTTCGCCGCTTTTGGTTTATGGGGCTTAAATCTTTGATTGTAGGTTACGATTTCTTTTGTTCTTTGCGATAATGACAGAAAAGGAATTTATGGTAGCGTAAAAAAAAAAACAGGCGTTACTAGTTAAATACTTAATATTGCAGAACAGAATTGAGAGAAGGGAAAGTAACTGGTAATTGGAGCAAATTTTTAGATATTATTTTTTTTTTTTTTTTGTTACGCATATTAACTAATTATACAGGGTGTAAAATAATAACTGTCGCACAGGTTTTTTTTTTTTAAATATAAAAGGGACGAAAAAAGTATTTTATTTGTTAATTTTCCACAGATTTGACTTTAATTTTATTAATTAGTTAACCTTTATTTGGATTTACCATGGTAAACACTTTGAGGGAAAGGCGCAAGCGGCACGCAAGTATTCGTCGGTTAATTTATTCCCTATCTTCTTAAAGCATAGGCTAATTTCCTCCATTTTGAGTCCTTTATACACTCCCCCTTTGGTCCAACTATATATATTTTTATAGCAAGCATGCCCGCGCAGGGCACTAGCGTATAGAGTTCTGCCAGCGTTGGGCGTCACTTTTTTTTAGAGATTACTTACAAAAGGTTTTGAAAACACGACGGATCTTTCTATGGCAACGTTTTCAATATTATGTCTTAGTGAGTGAACTAAAAACCAAGAAAAGGTCGCCCAAAAAGATACCCACTTCTAGAGAAGAACGGTTCAGGTCAACAAGAGATGTCGCTAAAAATAGAGTGTCCTCAGTTACGTCAGCAGTTTTTTCTTCGTTAACATAATATAGTTCACTCATAATTTCTGTACCGTTTCTTATCTTACCCTGCCCGACACGATTGTGTATCCATGAAAAACTCAATTATTTTCGGAAAGTAGAACCAAACAAGTAATTTTTAGCAAAAAAAAAACCGACTTCAACTCTCATATAATATATATATATTAGGCCGGGTCGATTTGTGGGGAGGCAAAAAAATCGCCCATTGCTCTGTGAAAATCATATTCTAGGGATCAAAATAAGAAACTTTGCCGAAGGAACCATACCTCTAAAACGAATTCTGATGTCCCCCAATTTGGGTCGAACTTTTGGGTAGGGGCAAATTTTGAAAAATCCCACTTTGACCCATTTAGAGTGCTCCAATCGAGTCCAAATGTATGACCGACCCGCACTAACTTTGGAGGCCCGACCCACCGATGCCAGTGGCACACCCCCTGGAACCCCCCTGGGGGTTCACCATACAAACATTTCAAAAAATCGCCGGTTTTGCACTTTACATGAAAAAATCAGCGAAATGCCTATGTTTTTTCTTTTTAGAGTTTATTTTTCTCTTTAGAAATTTATTTAGTCAGAACATATGTAAATGAAAAAATGAATTTAACTTAGTAATAGAAAAGAAATTAAAAAAAAATTATTAGAAATTAGCGTTTTTACAACCCTTTTAAAACCAAGGCATCACTGTGATGCATTTGCATGTCGTAAACATAGTTGTGTGGGTTTTTTATTCAACCGTTTTAAAAAATGAAGGTATCACTGTGACACAATTGCAAATCGGAAAATTGCTTGTGTGCGTTTTTTAAGACACAGCTGCATGTCGTAAACTTACTTGTGTAGTTTTTTTATAGCACCTACTTAAGAAATGAAAGTTGTTTTTACAACCCTTTTTGTGGGTATTTTAAGGCACCTTCTCAAGAAATGCGCGTTTTTTGCAACCATTTTAACAATTAAGGAATCACTGGAATTCACCGCAACCCTTTTAAACAATGAAGGTATCACTGTGACACAATTGCAGATCGTAAAATTGCTTGTGTAGTTTTTTTTAAGCCACCACAAGACACAGCAGGTAGAATTGAAATTACCATTTCATTCTTATTACCTCGTCTCGTAGACTATATATAACGCAACAGTTTTTGATGAATGCATTAGTCGTTGTGAAGAACTCAAAGTGTGAAGTGCTAATTTCAGATAAAAAAATATTTCAAAAAAAATATAGTAAGTGAAGTGACCATTCCAAATCAAAAAGTTTACAATGAATCCACCATCCTCTACACCGCAAGATGAAGCAACTACATCAACAACTATCGAAAACCCAATGAGTCATATACCCAAGCATGATGTTACTGTTTTTGGTGTGTCTACTGATTTAACTGATCTTAATTTACCAACCCATCTGGATATCTTGAGATATTATTTTTACTTAAGCGAACGTGCTAAAACAGAACAAAAAAAGTTTTCGCATAAATCATTCACTATTCAAGTACAAGATAAATTGATTGGAATTTGGGAAAAACTTGGTATGGAAATAATGCTGAAAAAAAGTGTATTTAATAAATTGAATAAATTGCTTGACAAGTATCACGAGCAAATCAAGAGAAGAAACAACACTCAACAATTTACAGAGTATGTAAAATCTCTGGAAACAATTTTTTACATTGGAACATGTAAATGCGATTTGAAGGCAGCTCCATGTGCATGCGGCTGGGTTCCCGAACGCCTCAAAGAGTTCATGCACCATCAACATAATCAGAGAAGACTAACAATGGATGCATTTGTGATGGAAACTGAAGAGCAAGGAGCAACGTCTATGTCATCAATGCCAACATACCAAGATCCCGATGATTCAACATACGCACCGCCATTGGTTCAAGAAGATATGGATAGAAGCACAAGTTCACAATACACAGAGAGATGCGATTGTTTTAACTTTGCCTTGGTATGTGACAGATTTGGTGTGCCTGATAGAGTAGCATCAGCATTGGGAACCGCTCTTTTGCAAGATTTTAAAATTAAAGATAAGCATGGGAAACCTCTCATCATGGATAAATCGAAAGTTCGCGTTTCCAAACGGGTTATACCGGAAAATGTAGAGGCTGTTATGGCGACGACATTAGAGAGCCGTGCGAAATTGCCCAGACTTGAAAGTAAAAAAGACTTCAAACAATAATTTTTTTTAGTTTCTTTTCTATAACTCACTTAAATTAATTTTTTCATTTAGATATGTTCTGACTAAATAAATTTCTTAAGAGAAAAAATAGATATTATTATAAATAAATAATAAATGTTATTATAAATAAATAAATAAAAATAAAGAAAAAACATAGCCATTTAGCTGATTTTTTCATGTAAAGGCCAAAAATGGTGATTTTTTGAAATGATTGTATGGGGAACCCCCCAGGGGAGTTCCAGGGGGTGTGCCACTAGCATGGGTGGATCGGCCGTCCAAAGTTAGTGGGGGTCGGTCATACATTTGGACTCGATTGGAGCACTCTAAATGGGTCAAAGTGGGATTTTTCAAAATTTGCCCCTACCCAAAAGTTCGACCCAAATTGGGTGACATCAGAATTCGTTTTAGAGGTATGGTTCCTTCGGCAAAGTTTCTTATTTTGATCCCTAGAATACGATTTTCACAGAGCAATGAGCAATTTTTAAATCGACCCGCCCTAATACATATGTATATTGTGCGTTAGTGAAAAAGTTAGTGTATCTATTGAAACTTGAGAGGCGAAAATTGTTCGTGTAATGTCCGGGTTATTAAATTTTGACCAAGTTTTTAATTCATTAATTTCAATGGTTAAAAAGTGATTTACTGAATTCCATTGTAGTCGTACCATCAAATGCCGGAAATCGTCAATAAAATCCATGAAAAAATATTGGAGGATATCAGAATAAAAGTGCGTGAGGTGACTAAGGTTGTAGGCATCTCAACTGAATGGGTACATCACATTTTCGATAAATATTTAGACATGAAAGAGTTAACCGAGCGATTGGTGTCGTTATTGCTTACATTAGACCAAAATCGCAACTGTGTTTCTGTTTCAAAAGAGTGTCCGACGATAACAATATACCATAGACCAAGGAACAGTCAAAGCGCAAGAAAAGCCCAAGAATTCTTTGGGATGCATACCGATTATCTTGAAAGCGGAAAAACATTCATCGGAAAATATTATTTTGTTAGATTTGACATCGATCTGAGGCAAAGACGATGGCATTTGGCGAAGAAGAAATTTTCTTCGCTTTACGTAACCGCCTCCCTCGCACATATTCATAGCAGGCTAAGGACTGTCACTTCAGCATCATTCGCCGAAATCTCTTTGTGAAATTATAGGCTGTTAAAGCAACTATTTTAAGGACCTTGAAAAAACTTTTTGCATATATATTAGGGCGGGTCGATTTAAAAATCGCTCATTGCTCTGTGAAAATCGTATTCTAGGGATCAAAATAAGAAACTTTGCCGAAGGAACCATACCTCTAATTTGATATCCAAAGGTTCTTTGAGTTGCTGTTTCAAAAATTCAAAATGGCGAATCCAATACGGTCTCTCCTTGCCGGACGGTGTTGTATTTTAGTTTTTCATATGTTCGAAAGTTCTAAGATCACTTATTAAAAAAAATCAGAATTTAGTAACCTCTTGCCAACTTATTCGGAACTAGAAGAAACAAATCACGAATTATTTTGAAAAACGCATGAAACAAATTGCATAAAAACCCATTTTATCCTGAATTTCTAAAACAAGAAATACCTTTATTCCACATATATACATTAATTTGTAGTAAATATCAGCAAAAAACGGATCGCGGGTTACAGCTGTGAAATTATTTAAAGACTGGTTGAAGTCCTAAATGTAAAAATGGGAAGCATCAGTCTCTTATTTCCAAACCGGACTAGAAGAAAAGGTCTAATTTACGCAACATAGTTGAAAACTAGCATTTAACCGTAGAGGTTTAAAAAAAAATAGAAACTGATGCTTTGTATTTTTACATTTAGAACTTAGCCCACTTAATATTATGTAGATAATTAATTTGGCGACGACAGGTCTATATCGCACTTGGACAAAAATACATAGTTCTTCTTCCTTAATGTCATGTTTTAATTATTACAGCATTCCAGTGGAAAAATGGTGAATGCATAATCTTTTTCTATCGCAAAAAATTAACGTCTACGATTGAACAAAAGCATACATCCCAATGTAAGTTTACGGGTAATGAGCAGCCGCAGTTTTGAAGGCGAATCATTGAGATAAGGGCGGTACTTTGCCAAACATTCTAATTCCCCACTGGGAAATATATAGCATTCGCAATATTTCACTCCCTGTGAACCACTCGATGTTACTTTCACTTACATATATCATACTTAATACCTTCCGTTGCTCTTCCTGTTTTGAAAAAATGCGCAAAGCGACGAGAGGGGTAAATTTTTATTGTATATTCTACAGTATATATAGTACATGTACCACTGAATGTTTGTACTTTTTCACTTATTGACTTTTATTGAACGCAATTGCCACACATACGTACATACATACATACATATAATTAAGTTTAAGTGTGAGCCTGTGAACAATTTTACGCGCAAATGTATCTATGTACATATATACACTGCCATTCAGCAGAATATGCTCAACATGATTTGCGAATTGTTACTGTTTGCCACGATGAAATTAGTGCACGCATTTTTACCTGTAAAACTTTTCGAATGTAAAATTTTATTCTTATTTTCAAATCAAGATACCTCTGATAAATGTACAAAAATTGTCATGCCAAGTTTTAAGGCTATATGATAAGTTTTGGTTTCGAAATGAGTAAAGAAATAAAAGTGCGTGAAGAGCTTGTTAGATATTTTAAGGAAAATCGAAATTAGACTTTCGAAACCATCGCTAAAAAAGCAAACGTGTCAAGAAAGACCGTTTCGCGAGTTATTCAAATCTAAAAAAAGTAAAAAAGTAACTGGCAAACCATAGGCTTTCAACAAAAAATGCAACCCCCGACCACCTAGGTCCCATATGGTTCCCTAGGGACCCCTTATAAAAATTGCCAAAAATCACAATTTTCAATTGCGTTTATTGGCTTGAAAAATGTTAAATATTCATTTGCATAATACATTTTTATATACAGATTTTTATATACACATTTTTATATATAAGACATTTTTATAAAACACCCAGTAACAAAAATAGACATCACTGAGGCGGCAGCCCCAGGTTTACCACACAGAAAGGGAATTCTAGTTACCTCATCCGTTCCCAAGGTTACATCACTGGGGCGGTAGCCCCAGTTAGGTCACACAGAAAGGAGAATTCTACGTAGTAAGGGTTATAATCCCTAAGCGCGGCCAAAGGCCGTCTACGCAGAAAGGAATTCTACACAAAAATACTGTGGACGCAAGTAAAAATTGCGATTTTTGGCCATTTTTCTAAGGGGTCTGTAGGGAACCATAGGGGCCTAGGTGGTCGGGGGCTGAATTTTTGTCAATGGCGGTTCATGCCCTCTCCAAAAAGGTCGGTTGGAGGTGCCACGCCCACTCCCCCTTCGCCCACCGCACCTTTAACGAACGGCCATAATGGAAAGTTTCCCAAAATCCAAATATATCGGGAAGAGAAACAGCTCAACTGTGTAATACGGTAAATTTTTTCCCATCTCGTAAGCAGGGGGTCCACTCTATGTATTGTGATTCAAAACTCAATGCGATTCGAAAGGCGACATGGACTAATACAAATTCTTAGAGCCCCAAGTATTCGAATCCGAATGATTTGCTTTTCGAATGGCAATACAGAATATAATCTCAGGTAACAAAATATAAAATAAATTAATTACCAGGACAGGTGACAAAAAAAGATAACCATCCCGTACAATACAGGATGGATGGTCACCGTAATTATTTCATCATTTTTCAATCTCGTGCTTTTTTCTCATAGAACTTCAATCACTAAAGCCAGCGTAGCTCGTTTTGTGATGTCTTTTTTTGACACTTGCTTGCTAGCATTAAAAAGAATACCAGTCAGATGAAAGACAGACACTTAAGTGAGCTTATAGTTTTATTTATGCACTGGTACAGATAAAATTGCAAATTAATTCAATAATTCATCTCCTTTTTAACTGCTTTTAAAATTTTGATTTTTTGCAATTACGCCTTTTCATAAAATCACAATTTCTATTTTTAATTATGACTAGCGTAATGTAACACTTGATTCCAGAACTTGCAACCTATTCTGCTGAATGGCAGTGTATCTACGTACATATATACATATATATGTACATATGTATATATGTATGTATGCATGTTCAGCAGCTGCGAATGCGATAATCGTTTATTATGCGCCCCTAACTAATAAGATATCCGCCGCTATAGTCTAGTAGTAGTTATAGTGGGTATGTTCGTTTAGGTGGATGATACTGGTAGTTAACTTATTTTCTATGACGTGATGGTGTTTGAAGATGTGGTTGGAACTTGAGTTTTTGTTTACCCATTTTTGGTTGCATGTATTGATGATGTTTGGCCATGCGACTATTGTTTTTGTTATTTTTGTTTGATTTTGCGCAAATTCCATAACCTTTTGGCAACATTCACATCAGCAGCGACAGTATAGGAATCATCAGCAAATCGTCGTGCATGCCATCCTCTCTACATTTTTGTTTGATTTACACATTTATGTGTTCGTTCATTCATAAAAACCACTCTCGTTCATTTATTATTCATTAATTTATGCACTTACATACAATATACTTGTGATTGTATATATGTACGTATGTGTGCATATTTGACTTGACACCATCGTTAACAACAAACCCTCAGTGTAGCAAACTTTTTTTTTGTAGGTTTTTAGATTTTTTTCTGGACTCCTTTGAAATGCAACAGGCGTAAAGCGCAAGCAACAGGCAACAGCTAATAGAGCTACAAATTTTATTATGGCATAACATAAAAAAGAATTTCTCGCTT